GTGGTGCATTGCCCACCATGTATGTCCTTCTTGCATACACAGGCAGAATAATTTTCCTATTATACAACTAAGATAAATGGAATGTTGCAAAGAGGGATTATGACAATGCCATAACTATTGCTGGGATCAGAAGTGTGCTCTATGTGTCTTCTCTGGGATCCAACAGAAGAAAGGCATCTTGAACAATGACTCCATGCCCCTCAAACTTGTAGAAGACGAAGGCCCACAATCCTCCCTTAAAGTATAGTTTCATGATCACAAGATGGTGAAGTGGGTGATTTCCACAAACTGGAATCGAAAAAAGAAAGAAAATAAGTGTTAGATCTACAGTAATTAGAGCTAAATTTCCACGATAATAGAAACAACCCCCAAGATAAAAGCCACCGGAAAATACAACGAGAAGCTGAAATACTTAAAGACTCAACTCCGTGTTTCTATCCCCAGCCCACATCCCAGGCAAGATAAAGTATGTGCTAGCCATTGCAGGGTTGATCTTTGGTATCACACTACCTGGGTGTCTGAATGGTTCTTCCTTGGAAGTAACTTAGTCTGAACATGCCATAGCCCACAAGAGATGAAAGCCTAAATCTGCACGGCCATGTGAAGGACAGGAAATGCTTTTGATGTAGAGGAGAGAAGATGGCACCAAAGAGCTGCCTAGATGAAAAGTCCTAGAGGTTTCCATGCTTGAGGGACTAGGAAGCTAGCAGGGGTAAGTGCTATCTTCTTAAGAACTGACTAGGAGCAAGGCAAGGGGCATCAAAGTGTTGAATTAACTCAGTACTTTGTGTTTTTCTGACATAACAAAAGCTATTTTATTACTCGTGGTCACAAGCGTTGGACCACGGACACATAAGCGGGTGCAGAAGCTATATTCTCACATCTGGTGGAGTACTGCTAACCAATTCATCATCTTACAGCTTGGTTAAAATGTAATAGACAAACTGGAGATGGTGTAAAAGTAAAAGACAAATGGAGTTGGTACAGTTGGGAGGAGGAGCCCCAAAGTTAGGAGACCGATAAAGGTGCACTTATTGGTACAAAGTGGCTGAATTAAGACTGGGATATTCTAGGAATAAGTACTGAAAAGTGGAGCAAGAGCATCCATTGTCCTTCCTAGAGTGAGCATTGCTCCCCATGGAAATGTATTTGTCCATTGTTTCTTCGGGACAGCAATACTTAGTCTAACTAGAGGCTCATTCAGTAAAGTCAGACTCTCTCCATTGCTTTAATAGTATTCTTTATGAATCAGAACGTTTATGCTTGTGGAGTGCTGAGTTCACAGTTTTTAAAATGAAGGAGGAAGAGGTGGAGAAGAGGAATGCAGCAACTCTGGTCTATAAATCAAAGCAATCTGCCTCAGAGAAGAGATGGAGCAGAGAGAATTGCTATGGAGACATTTATTTACATTTTATATTCATAATTCCCAGCCATGCTATGGATAAGGAAAGGGGGAAGTGTGTTCGTGTGTGTGTGTGTATCTTTTGGGGGTAGGGATAAGACATATAACATTAAAATATAACAACAAAATAAAAGCAAAGACTTAGCTAGCAGGAAATTGATTATTCCAGCAAAAAAAAAGTACTGGAAGGATTTCACCTATGTTACTATATTAGAAGTTGCTTATACCGCCACTTTATTTTTTCTTCTTGCAAGAAGAATACAAAGGAAAATCAATGTGAATAATAACTAGCATTTATCTAACACTTAAAGGTTTACTAAGCACTTTACATATGTTATCCTATTTGATCCTCATAAGAATCCTGTGAGGTAGATGTTATTATTAGTCCCACTTTACAGAAGAGGAAACTGAGGCAAACAGGTCAAATGACTTGCCCAAGTTCACACAGTTAGTGACTACATCTGAACTCTTGTCTTCCTGACTCTAGGTCTACCACTCTGTGCACTACACCATCAGGCTTCTGGCACAGGTTCATTGATTTAGAGCTGGAAATGACACATATAAAGTTTAAGAGCAATAGTTCCAGGGTTATTGATCATATCATTAATCATGCTAGCAGATAATTAATAAAATAGGTCAGCAGCATTCTCAAATGCCAGTAGGTGCAGGCTCACAGCTTATATGCCCTTGGTAGAGTGGGTGTTCCTGAGGGTGGCAGTCAACTCTGATTGCTTAACAATTAATGAGAAGTGGACTTTAGGGGCAGTTAGGTGGTGCAGTGGATAGAGCACCTGCCCTGGAGTCAGGAGGACCTGAGTTCAAATCTGGTCTCAGACCAGACACTTGACATTTACTAGCTGTGTGACCCTGGGCAAGTCACTTAACCCCAATTGCTTTGCCAAAAAAAGAAAAAAAAAAGAAATAGACTTTACAAAGAGAGGTGGGCTCACTCCAAAGTGGGGCTAAGAAAGTCACATCATGTCATTCTTGGACAATGACATTATCTCTAAACCCAGACCACCCCCAGCCTTGGGTAATCTAGATAAAGATCTACTTCCACTCATATTGGCTTGAGCTGAACAAAATGGGCAGGTAAGATGATCTAGGTGGGGTAAGTTTTTTGGCCACATCAGTAATGTCGTTCAAATGCTGGGCATCAAACAAGGAAATAAGACAGGGAAAAAGGCCTGGATCTTCACAATATTAAATACTGGTTATTAATATAAGAAAGACTTATTTCATTTTTTTACAGATGAAGAATGGGTGCTCATAGAGTCTAAATTCTTGCACAAAGCCACACTAGTAGTGCCCAGTGTAGGGTCCAAACTCAAGCTTACATCCTAGGTGTTGCCCTCGACCCCTGACTCCTGACTGTTTAATCATCAATTAAGTCCTGGCATTTCTTCCCTTGTAATATCCTTTTTATGTGCCCCCTTCTCTCTTCTGACAGTGCTACCACCTTGGTCCCTATCCCTATCACCTCACCACCCAGGCTATTGCAAAAGCCTTTTCATTGATTCTCTCTATCAGAATCTGTCCCTGATCCAGTCCATCCCCTTCTTAGCAGTTAAATCGATCCTCTTCTGTCTAAAGTCTGGTCATGTAAGCCTCCCCTAGTCAATAAACTCCAGTGGTTTCCTATTCCAAAATCAAATATAAAATAATGTTAGGTTTTCTAACCTGGCTACCTTCTACCTTTCCAGTCTTTCTGCACCATTTTAACATACCAACAATCTATCTCCTGACTCCAGGCATTTCTACTAGTTGTCCCGCATGCTTGGAACTCTTTCATTGCTCCTCCTCATCTCCTGGCTTCCCTGACTTCCTTCAGGTCCCACCTAAAATCTCATCTGCATTCAGCAAGAAGTTTTACTCCATCCCCCTTAATCCTAGAGCTGATTCTCCTGATTAAGTCCTATTTATCCTGTCTATATGTTGTCTGTACATAGTTGGTTGCCTGTTGTTGTCCGCCACTGACTGAGCTTCTTGGAGCAAAAGTTGATTTTCCCTTTCTGCACCAAGTGTTGTATCTGCACCACTTAGCACAGTGCCTGGCACACAGAAGATGCTTAGAAAATGCTTACTGATTTACCTTGAATAATAGTGAAGGAGTGAGAACATGGATGGAAGGTTTTGAGACTTGGATAAAAATAAGCCAGAATTCTAATAAAACCAGTTTTGGCTTCTCCAATATCAACTTGACTGGGAATGTCAAGTAATCCCACTTGTTTATCTCCCTTGCTTGCACACCCAAATTGCCTAACAGGATTACTCTCAGCTTAAATTGGGAGAATGTAATGTGTGAATAAGGTAGGGCCTGGGATGGGTGAGGGGGCTGAAGGGAGGCAACTGAGCTCAGGCTTGACTGGAGAGCAGTCACTGCTCTGACCTACGGTTTTTGGGGGAGCGGCTGTGCCCTTGAGCTACAGCAGCCAAACTTCCCCCAAAGGTTTTTGTTCAGGGCTGGATCACTGTGACAGACCAGCTGTAATGATGTTGATAGTAATGCAGTCCAGCATCTTCAGTCTCTACAGTGATGACTGTGAGAGTATAGTCTGTCCCAGACCCACTGCCACTGAACCAGGCAGGGACTCCAGAATGCAGGATGGTAGCAGCATAGATCAGGAGCTTGGGAGACTGTCCTGGTGGCTGATGGGTACCAGGCTAAATTATTGCTAGTAACCTTACTGGCTCTACAAGATATAGTGACTTTATCTTGTCAAGATATTTGGAGACACCCTGTTTTTCAGAGCTAAGGCTAAGCAAGCAAGCTGCACCCTGAGCTTGGCATAACAACGATCCTCTGTGCTCACCATCTGGGTGATCTCATCTCTGGCAAAATCATATAATTATCATATTGCTTTGACAAGCACCAGACAAGTACCCATGTTCTGGCTCTGCTATGCATCAAACTTGTCACACTGTTGCTGTTACTTCTTACAGACCTGAGCTCAAATCCAAGTTCACTTGCTAGCTGTGTGACCCTGGGCAAGTCGCTTCACCCTAGTTTCCACATCTATAAAATAGTGTATATATAACAGCACCTGCTTCCCAGGGCTGCTGTGAGGACCAGATGATATAGTCCTTGTAAAGTACTCAGCCGTGCCTGGAACACAGTGAGCTCCACGTAAACTTCAGCTCTGAGTTTTACTGAGCCCATCTACCAGATGACTGGCATTCCCCAGGCCCAGCCAAACGCTCTCCACGTCTCCTGCTTTCCCTCAGGTCAGTCTCCTTGACAAGGAAATGGATGCAAAGGGAGCTCTGCCTGGCTCTGCTTCTCCCCGTGTCCGTGATCCTCGCCCCACGGACCCCACACAGGGCCCGGCCCTTCTTTGATCCTCGGCTTTTCCCCGACATCGCTTTCCCAAAACACAGCCCAGGCCAAAGCAAAGCCTTCAGTCCTCCCGTGGTCCCAGCTGGTGGCCAGAGCCTTCTTGACCTCTCCTGCTGCCCCGGGCCCACTCGTGTCCTGCTCCTCCTGGAAGCCCCAGGGGGCGAGCGATAGCTCCGGGTATCCCGCGCCAGCCCGTGGTCTCCCTCCTCAGAGCCGTGGTTTCTCTGTGTGTTTGCGTCACTTCCCGCGGGAAGATGCAGGCACACAGGAAGCATTTCATTAGAGCAGTGGCCTGGTGTGACTGACTGCCAGACTGGGAGAGACTGTGGGATGGACTAGCCTCGGGGGAGCCCCAGGGCCTCTCGAGGTCTGGCACCCCTCGCCTGGCGACTCCCCGTGTGCTCTGGGGCTGTGAAATCCACTCACGAGGTGAAGGGAGGAGCGGAGGGGGCGGGGCTCCTGGCGGGGAGGGGAGAGGCAGGCAGGAGGCAGGGCGGCATTCCAGACGGGGAGGGGGGGCAGCCCCAGGCATGCGCAGAAGGCGCCTCAGCCTCCAGACTAAGATTCCGAGAGGCCGTTTTCCTCTCAGGGACATTTGTCCAAGCTCACGGCCGGAGGATTAGACTTCCGTCCAACCACGACCCTTCCACTCCCTTTTCTCTCCCCGTCTTCCATGCTTGCTTGTTCCAGCTTCCCTTTCTCTGTCCTGGGCTGAAGTGTGACGGGGTGAGCGGGGCCGAGAGTGGGGCCAAGACACTCACAGGTCAGAGCACGGGCCGGGAGAGTAGTAAGTACACCTCTCCTTAGATCATACCACCTTGGAAGAACTGAGAACTTACAGTTCCCTAGGTGTATCTCTGAAAACATATGCACAAAACCCCTGAAGCTTCTTACAGTGTGCCCTCCTTACTGAAGCAGAGCCCCACTTTAACAAAGATTAAAAAGTCAAGTACTAGACTGGGGAAATGTGCAAACAACAGAAAAAAAATTCTGACCATAGTAAATTTCTGTGGTGACAAGGAAGATCAAAACACACTCAGAAGAAGATAACAAAGTCAAAGCTCCTACATCTGAAGCCTACAAGAAAAATATGAATTGGTTTCAGGCAATTAAAAAGCTCAAGAAGAATTTTTAAGAGCAAGTAAGAGAAGTAGAGGAAACATTGGGAGGAGAAATGAGAGTGATGCAAGAAAATAATGAAAAATGAGTCAACAGCTTGGTAAAGGAGACAAGAAAAAAAATACTGAAGAAAATGACACCTTAAAAAAGCAGATTGGGCCAAATGGAAAAAGAGGCATGAAAATTCACTGAAGTGTAGAACTTGTTAAAAAGTAGAATTGCCCAAGTGGAAAAGGAGGTACAAAAGTTGACTGAAGAGAATTGTTTAAAAACTAGAATTGAGCAAATGGAAGCTAAAGTCTTTTTCAGAAATCAAGAAACAATAAACAAAAACAAAAGAATGAAAAAATAGGAGGCAGTGTGAAATATCTCAGTGTAAAAGCAGCTGACCTAGAAAACAGATCCACTAGAAATCATTTTAAAATTATTGTAGTGCCTGAAAGCCATGATCAAAAAAGCCTAGACATCATCTTCCAAGAAATTAGCAAGGAAAATTGCCTTTTTTTTCTAGAAAGAGTGTAAACTAGACATTGAAAGAAACCAGCAATCACCTCCTCAAAGAGATCCTAAAATGAAAACTCCTAGGAATATTATAGCCAAGTTCCAGAGCTCAGTCAAATCAAGGAGAAAATAGTATAAGCAGCCAGAAAGAAACAGTTTAGTATCATAGAGCCACAATCACGATAAGACAAGATTTAGCAACTTCTATGTTAACAGGCTTAGAATATGATATTCCAGAGGGCAAACGATCTAGAATTAAAACCAAGAATCACTTATCCAGCAAAAGTGTGTATAATCTTCAGGGGGGGAAATGGTCATTCAGTGAAATAGAGGACTTTCAAGCATTCTTGATGAAAAGACCAGAGCTGAATAGACAATTTGGCTTTCAAATACAAGACTCAAGAGAAGTATTAAAAGGTTAAAAGGAAAGGGAAATCATAAGGGACTTAAAGCCAAACTGTTTACATTCCTATGTGGGAAGATGATACTTGTAACTCATAAGAACGTTCTTGTTGTTAGGGCAATTAGGAGTATATATAGACAGGGTGCACAGGTGTGAATTGAATATGAAGAAATGATATCTTAAAAAAATGAAATTAAGGGGTGAGAAAGTAATGTACTGGGAGAAAGGGTTATGGAGCTATAGAATGGGGTAAATTATATAAAAGAGGCATGAAAAAGCTTTTATGGTAGAGGGGAAGTTGGGATGGGGTGTGAACCTTACTCTCATCAGAATTGCCTCAAAGAGGGAATAACATACACAACTGGGTGTAGAAATAAGAGGTGGGGAGCATCATAGAAAGGAGGGCAGTTTGGGGAATGGGGTTGTTAGAAGCAAAACACTTTTGAGGAGGGACAGGGTGAAAGGAGAGAGAATAGAATAAACTGGGGGGAATAGGATGGAGGGAAATACATTTAGCAATAGTAACAGAAAAAATTTTTGAAGCAAATTTCTTTCATTAAAGGTTTCATTTCCAAACATATAGAGAACTGAGTCAAATGTATAAAAATAAGAATCACTCCCCAACTTATAAATGATCAAAAGATATGAAGTTTTCAAATGAAGTGCTCACATCTACCTATAAGCTATCTATAGATTTATTTTTTAAAAATGCTCTCACTATTGATTGGAGAAATGCAAATTGAAACAATTTTGAGGTACTGCCTCATCCCAAGTAGATTAGCTAATAGGACAGAAAAAGAAAATGAGAAATGTTGGAGGGGATGTGGGAAAAGTGGCATGTTAATGCTTTGTTGGTGTTTTGAACTGATTCCACCATTCTGCAGAGCAGTTTGGAACTATCCCCAAAGAGCTATAAAACCATGCATACCCTTTGACCTAGGAATACTACTACTAGGTCTGTATCCCAAAAGATATAAAAAACAAAAAGGAAAAGGACCTGTATGGACAAAAATACTTTATGGTAGCTCTTTTCTGGTGGCAAAGACTTGTAAATTGAAGGGATATACATCATTTGGGCAATGGCTAAGCAAATTGTGGTGTGTGATATGTGATTATGATGGAATACTATTGTGCTATAAGCAATGATGAGCAGGATGCTCTCAGAAAAACCTGGAAAGACTTTCATGAGCTGATATAAAGTGAAATGTACTGTGTACAAACTAACAGCAATATTGTTAGATAATCAGCTGTGAATGACTTAGTCATTCTTAGCAATACGATGATCCAAGACAGCTCTGAAGGACTTATGATGAAAAATGCTATCCATCCCCAGAGAAAGAACTGATGGTGTCAGAATGCAGATTGAAGCATACTTTTTAAACTTTCTTTATTTTTCTTTTCTTTTTTCTTTTTCTGTCTTTTCTTTCACAATATAACATGATTACATGAGCTTATTTTATATCCTCTAACTGGCGAAGTTCTTTATTGTTTCAACTAGTTTTTCAGTTGATTCTCTAGAGTTCTCATCATGTACAAACTGTGATAGTCGTTTTTCTTTTTTTACTTGTTACCTTCATTTTCTTTGTCTTGTCTTTTTTTAAATTATAATTAGCATTTCTAGAACAAGATTGAATAAAAGTTGATAATGACCACCTTTGCCTCACCTAGATGTTCTTTGGAAGGCTTCTAGTTTATCCTCATTACAGATCATGATCGTTTTTTATTTTAGATAGATGGCATTTATCATTTTAAGAAAAGTTACATGTATTCCAATGCTTTCTAGTGTTTTTAATGGGAATAGGTATTGTATTGTGTCAAAAACTTTTTCTGCATTTGGTGATTTCAACACATGACTTTTGTTATTTTTGGTACTGGCATTATCTGTTATGCTTATAGTTTTCCTGCTGTTAAACCAGCCCTGCATTCGTTGTATGAGTACAGCCTGGTTACAGCATATGATCTTTATGCTGTGTTGCTGTAATCTCTTACTAGTACTTTATTTAAAGTTTTTACCTCTGTATTCATTAGGGAAATTGGTTTGTTGCTTTCTTCTCTGTTTTTGCTCTCGTTGGTTTAGTTATCAGAACCATATTTGGGTCTTAGAAGGAATTTGATGGGAGTCCTTCTTTACCCAATTTTTCAGATAGTTAATATAGTTTTAGAATTAATTGTTCTTTGAAAATTTGGTAGAATTCACTTGAAAAACAGCTTGGTCCTGGGAATTTTTTCTTGGATATTTCTTTATGGATTAGTCAATTCTGTTTTCTAAGTTAGGGTTATTTAGGTATTCTATTTCTTTTGTTAATTTGGGTAGGTTTTTTTTTTAGTAAAAATTATACATTGCACTTAGAGCATCCTTTTTATTGGCATATATTTGGGCAAAGTAGCTCCTAATAATTGCTTTAATTTCACCTTATTAATGATGTGTTCAGTCTTTTCATTTTGATATTGGTGACTTGCTTTTTCCCCCCTTTTTAAATGAAATTAACAACTGGTTTATCTACTTTATTGGTTTTTCATTAAGCTAACTCTTAATTTTATTAACTAGTTCAATGGCTTTTTTACTTTCAATTTTGTTAATTTCTCCTTTTGTTTTTAAGACTTCTGTTTTTATGTTTAATGGTGGTTTTTAATTGGTTGTTTTTTCAGTGTTTTTTTTTTTAGTTACTCAGTTTATTGATTTCCTCTTTCTTTCATTGGTGTGAGAGTTTACAGATATGCATCTTTCCATAAATACTTCTTTAGCTTCATCCTTCAAATTTTGGCATATTGTCTCATTGTTACTGTTATTAATGAAAGTATGGATTATATGATTTGTTCTTTGACCCCCACATTCTTTAAGAGCAGGTTATTTAATTTTCAATTAATTTTAATCTGTGCTTCAGAGGCCCTATATTGAATGTGATTTTCAGTGTATTATGCACTTATTATTTCTGCTTCACCATGTTTATGAGGTTTTTATGCACTAACACATCATGAATTTTTGTGAAGGTGCCATGTACAGTGGAGGAAAGGATATATTCTTTTCTGTTCCCATTTAGTCTTCTCCAGAGGTCTGTCTGTCATAGATTATTTTTCTAAAAGTTATTCATCTCCTTAACTTCTTTCTTAACTATTTTATAGTTAGATTTATCTAGTTCTGAGAAGGGAAAGTTGAGGTCCCTCACTGGTATAGTTTGGCTGTCTAATTCTTCTTGTAACTCATTTTACTTTTGCTCTAAAGTTTTGAATGCTATGCTATTTGCTGCATATATTTTTAGTGTTTTTATGAATTCATTATCTATGGTACCTTTTAGCAAGATGTAGGTTCCCTGTATCTCATTTAATTAGATCTGTTTTTGCTTTTGCATTGTCTCAGATCCTGATTGCTACACCTCTCTTTTTTATTTCAGCTGAAGCATAATAA